AAAAAAAAAAAAAAAAAAAAAAAAAAAAAAAAAAAAAAAAAAAAAAAAAAAAAAACTATGTTATATTTTGAATCCTTTGGATGCTCAAAGAAAATGTCTGCAACCAGCTTCGATACAGAATTTGTGAAAGGTGATTGTTTGGGCCCATAACGTGACTTCTTCAAGTTAGACACATCATTTGTCCTAAATTTTCTTCCAAAGCCAAGTGGTGATCGCATCTACACTTCATCAACATTTTTTGTTGGTTCTAAGCTTTCCTAAGTCTGTTACATTTTAGTCGAGAGAGTATAACATGTATTAAATATGCTGTTATAAACTGCATCGCCCCAGAAGGTTTTTGGTACACTCGTTTAAAATAAAAGGAAACTGCATGCCACCCGCATTATGTTGAGGAGAAAGTCAGGAACTTTGGCGAACAAGACTGCTTTCTAGGAGATATTTCCAGATCCCCGATTAAAGAAGCTGGGTATTATTATCTACTTCAAGATGAAAAATCTCTTTTGTGAATTAAACCACCCGTAGAAATTGCTTGAAAGTTTTTAAAGGATCAGACTTACACCCAACAAGGTAAAGCCAACGTGTATGAGTTTGATGATCAATAAAAGGGATAAACTATCTGTGCTAATAAAACAAATTTATAGAAAATGGTCCCCAAACAACATGGATAAGGGTGAAGGGGTCGTTGGCTTTTGTGGACATTAGGATGAAAGGCCAAAATCGATGACTTGGACGACTCACATTTTGATGGAAATTTAAAGCTTTTATAAGGAATGGATTGTGGGACGAATAACCATCAGCTTGAAATGAGAAATGCTAGGCTTCCCCGCCTACAATAGCATAGGTTTACTTTTCCTCCACAACAATACTGCGAGATTGGAGTCTTGGAGCGAGGGACAGGATTATGGAACGTTCTTACATTTTAGTGCAGTAAACTAGTTGGCCAAGTTGTAAATTCAAACCATTGTAGTTCATAGGTAATACCTCCATGATAGAGCACCAAGATATTAGGATTGATCCCATGAGCAGCAACTGCTATAGCCAGTAGACGGAGTACACTTTCCTCCACTGATTCCAGACACATCCACTATAGATGGGAAAAGTATCCGATCGGATGTGCAGATATAAGAGTCTGTCTGACCACTAGGAAACGTTGAGACGATAAGCTTAGGTGTTCCAATATGAAGAGATTTTATTGCAGAGGATATGAGAGACGTCCCACCACTGCCTCAAAGCAGCCCTATAGCTCCAGCAATAACCCCATCCTTCTGGGCTTTAATAAGAAAACTCATTACCAAGACTGCTTTACCCCGGTCATCGGAAAGATGATTTCAGAGAGATCATAGCAAAAGAGAACATAGTCCCTCGACACGAAGAAGAAATCGTCCAAACTCTCGATCCCATTCTGACGCCGGGTAGAAACATTAACAACCGTCACTTCGACCTGTCATTTCCACAACCACAGACAGTCAACAGAAGCACAACGAAGAGAATCGTAAATCCGATGATTCTGCTTAGAGCCTTAGATAAAGTAAGAATTACTTGTTTCTTCTCTCTTTTTGTTCTTTCTGTTCCCTTCTATTTCAGTTTACAGAAAAACGGTAGACGCGGATTTAGAGATCGAATACACGTCTTTTACCTCCAATATTTTAGTCAATCAAAGTTGAAATCACAATAATCTCCATCAAAATCACGAAAAACAAGACAACGCATATGAAAAATTTCACCAAAGGACGCACAACACATACATTCTAAACAATAGTTCAGGAATTGTAACCTTAAAACAAAAATCTCGAGAGAAACAATTCAGGTTGGAATGAACCGCGTCGTAAATGAATCGAAGCTAGCTTTGTATCAGCAATTGCGATGAAAAAAAAAATTCGGGGAGTTTTACTTCCGCAGCCCTTTATTTTTTCTTATATCTGATTTGGTTGCATATATTATTTTTTTAATAATTTAAAAAGATCAAGTTTATTTAAAATCTCATAAAATTCAAACATAATTCAGAGATATTCATTCGACTATTTTATTCTTCATCTCTTCAAAAATTTTCATTTATTTTTTTAATGGGATCGAGATATAGATTCTCCATTTATTATTATTTTTTTAAATATAGTATATATTTTGTTTTTCAACATAAATTATTAATTGGTATTGATTTAGTCATGTTATTAAAAATTTTATATATATATATATATTTGTAAATTATTATTGGTTGATAAAATAATTCCACATAAACAAAATATAAAATCAATCTAATTCTAAATTATTAATGAAAACTTATGAAATCTATTTTAAATGAAAAATCTAACCCAAGAATTAAATGAACATCTAAATTATTTTATAGTTGGATTAGTTTACGTGTTTAGTAATATTTACAAATTAAACTTATAATTAATCTTATAATTAATGAATTTCATAAATTTATTCAATAACCCAATTCTTTTTCTTGTCAGCAAAACACAAAAATAAAAAGATTATTACTTTTTTTAGATTATGATAATTATGTGAATAATACAGATGTATCCATTATTGATACCTTCAATGTTTGGGACCAGGGACCCTTTTATAATAGAAATAGATGTTGATAAGTTGAAGTGTACCACTATATTATTGACTTCATTTTTTCCAAGTCAATTTATTTTATTAACAAAAGCCAGTTAATTAAATTCATTTTTATTCTTATAAAATAACAATAATAATAATAATAAAAAGAATTATATTGAGAGCATAGTCGCATTTTTATTCATAGCCTTTCAACCCCTCCATAAATTGAAGTGTCGTGTCAATCATGATTTATTAGTTGAACTTATTATCTCCATAAATTGATGTATCATTACATGGATTTATTAGTTGGACTTATCATCTTTCCTAACTCCTCTATTTTTATAAAGTTTATAAAGTAAATAAGATAAATCTTAATTATGAGATAGGTATTTTAAATACGATTTTCAATTATTAATTATAAAATTTAAGAAAAATTAAAAAGTTTTGTATAGTTTGTAAAGTTAATAATTTTAGATATTTATTCTGTCAATTTTTTTATTAATTAAATAAAATCCTATTTATCTATTTTTGGCCCACCTGTTGTTTGGAACATTGAGACATCTTGAAAATCCATCCATCCGGAATCTATCGAAACATTGGTACACCTGTGTCCATGTCATGTCATTTACGGACTCTGTACCGAATAACAAATGGATAATTCAACCTCTGAGACATAGGTTGGGGGACAATATTAGCACACTCGTGCCGTCTCGTACTGTATTTGAAAACCGATTTCAAAGAAAGTCGTCTGAAACACTTGTCTCGAAATGCTTGCTGTCACTGTGACACACATATGTGTCACATGATAGCTAGCTTAGGTCACATGGTCAAGGGTGGTAGAAAGCTGACACCATGCCTCTCTTGTCAATCTATTAGAGAACCGCGTACTCAACTAACATTAAGAACTTTTCATACCGTATTCACGGGGAGACTGTAGAACATATATGAGCTCTTTCTAATGGAAAAATCAAATTCAATAAGATTTGGTTCATCCCACATGTACACGTCATGGGCATCTTGCATTTTTATCTTATATATACTTGTATCTAATATGGACGGACTTAACTCTAGAACCGTATATCCAAATTCTCTCCAAAATCTCAATTTTTAAGGTTAAGGTCTGAGGTCCTATCCGACCCTTTAACTAGCCTATTTTTCACATTCATGTCTACTCGTGACCCTTGTCTTGCTTCGACCTCTTCTTCTCTTCAATGACCGCTCTGTGTGGTGTGTTAGATGAGGCACCATCTTCTTCAATCGTATCATAGCACTCATCTAGATCTTTGCGTGGCTTTAAACGCCTCTTAAAAGTCATTGCTTAACTTGTCGAATCATGAGGGTCACAATTTATTCTTTTAGGAAAGGCATCAAAGCGAACCGCCTCATGTGAAAAATAAAGAACATAAATACAAATAAATTTATAGGTGCGAAAACTAACATGAAAACAACTAGTTTTAACGTTAGTGCAAGTCGTCGTCTAACATACAAATATTCAGATGTCTTGCAGTATTTGCAAAAGCTTAAGTCAATAACTTCATAATTATTTTATTTTTAGTTTCTTAGTCTATAAAAAAAAATTAACTTCTAAATATTATTTTCACAATTTATTACTTACCTCTTAAAAACGTTTAAAAAACTAAACCAAAATTTAAAAGTATTAAAAAAGTTTTTTAAAAAAATTGATTTTACTTTCATAATTTGGTGTGGAATTTATATGCTTTTTTAGGTGAAACGTACAATTTTAACACTCAACCATATAAATTATTTATGAGATTTTATCAAATTGAAATTCTAACTTTTAAAATTAAAATTTAACTTTCACCCAATTAATTTTATAATTTAATTTTTTACGAGCACATTTCTTAGAAAATTAATAATTAAATAATTCATTAAAAAACACTTCAATTTTTATAAAATCTATTTTCAAGTATTTATCAAAATTTAAGTAAATATATAATCATTTTAATTGTCCACTAAACATTGAAAAATTCTTAGAATTTAATGGATTATGTTCGTATTTATTTATCTTAAACTGTCTCTAAAATTTCAATTTCATGTGATTAATTGATTTTTTTTAAAGTTTATGAACCCACTAGAAATTAAAAATTTAGAGTCTTATTAACCTCAAATTTAATTTTATATCTAATATATTAAGTTAAAATTTTAAAATAGTTGGAAGTCATAGATTTATTGTATTATTAAAATTCAGGAAATTTTATTAGACAACGTAAATTAATGTCACAACCTTTCATTTTCTTTTAAATAAAGCACAGTGTAACTTTTATTTCCTTTTTTAATTGCATTGGCACCTAATTAAAATATCTAGTTGACTAAAACATAGACCAATTTAATTTAATGAAATAAAATAAATATAAAAATTGAGAAATGAAAAAATAATTTTTGATTTTAATATTCGAGAATACACGCTTATGAATTTTATTATGATGAAATGGTCACAACGAGAATAATTATATTAAGAAAATAACTTAAAAGTCCAAATTAAAAAAAAAAAAAAAAAAAAATACACAAACACAAACAATTACAATTATTTATTCAACATAGCTGCCTCCTAATCTTACCCCACACACACAAACACGATAATAAGATAAATGCATTGAAATAAAAAATTTAAAATGATTTTGCAAACATCCAATAATTATATGAAGACGTAGGTTTGATCAAAGAATAGAGCAAGAAGGATAGGTTTCATGGGGCACGACCACGTACGACGATCCATAATAAGGCGGGTAGGACGGACATGGGCAATAGGGTGGCGGGAAGGGCGGACATGAGCATGAGGGTTGGGGGGTGGGCTTGGGCGGTGGGTTGGGCTTGGGTGGCGGTCCAATGGTGTCTATATCAGCAATCTTGCCAGCGCAAGAAATGGCCTTCCGGGTACGTGTAACTATGTCGTAGGGATCCGCCGTGCCCGTCACGGCCAAGGTCCCCTTGGCTTCGTCCATCTCAATCTTGTCCACGCCTGCACCAAAAATTATTTACAAACCAAAAAACAATCCAATATCCAGGAGGAGGAGGAGGTACCTTCTAGGGCAGTAACAGCTTTGAGGACTTTGGTCTTGCATTTGTGGCATGTAATGTCAAGTTTCAGAATGGTTTTGGTCATCGCCATGGGAGGAGAAGTGATAGAGTCATGGGTTGTTGGTGGAATTATATAGAATTAGCTCACCCTCTTAGATCAACAGGGATTATTAATCCGACGGTCCTGGAGAATTTGACTTCACCCATTTCATTACTCTAAAGTCAGCGGAAGTTGCACCAATACTTGATCAAAGAATTTTCTTTGAACATCAAGGAAATCATAACAAAAAAACAAAGAAAAAAAAAAAAAAGTTGACGTTCTCTTTGGACTAATTAATTTGTCCTAACTTTTAATTTTTCACATGTTTTTCCCCGGTTCATTTCTAAGAATTTTCAAATCTACTTTTAATTTTTTTTTTTTTGACCTAATTAATATATTTTTCAAATTCGGAATTTGGTAACACAAAATTGAAAAGTAATAAAAATAATATTGAATATGGACTTAATTTAGAATTTAATCCATTTAAAAAATATTAATGAAATTTAGTTATAATTTATTAAGAGTTGGCTTTGAATATGACTTCTAAAATGTAAAAAAATAAGGTTATTTTATGCTTAAACAAGTTGAGATTACAGTTCTCTACCTTTATTAAGCTTACTATTAAGATAAAAAAAGAGTAAACTTTCTCTCTAAGTTTTTAAAACGCATATGTTAACGAGAGCCACGACCTTATGAATAATGCTTCGTGCTCTGATACCATTTGTAATCGTCCAAACCCACCACTAGAAGGTATTATCTGCTTTTGCCCGTTATATATCGTCGTCAACCTCGTAGTTTTAAAACGCGTCTACTAGGGAGACGTAAGAAATGTTTAGTTTTCCTCTCCAACCAATGTGAGATTTTATAAGCAGTGGAACGAGGATGAGAGAGGCTGTCAGTGTCTGCAGACAAAAATCCGAGCATGTATATGTGGCTTACAAGATTCAATGTCCTATAAAAACACCACACGTTTTGTCACAAGCTCCGTTCATAGTTTTGGTACAGAATTACATACAACAATATTTTATTAAGAGCATAAGAATCTATTAGGTTTAAGCATAAGTAGATGGGTTTTTTTGTCGTGTCACTTTGGTTTAGTGAGGGAAACAGTGACATTGACAAGACTAGGTTTCTCTTTTGCCTTACGGTCTGCTATGATCTCACCGTATTTGATGAACAATTCATCCATAATTTGGTCTCCAAAATGGCTTGCAAGAATTGGTTCAGCTATAGCCCTTATGCCCTTTGCTACGTTGTCGCTGCTACTCTTGAAACCGTCTAATGCGTTGTTGCTGAATTGATTGCTGGAAACGTCCCAAACCCTAATGCCATCCACCACAAAGGATCCTTCTTTTGCAACCTCAATCTCTATTTCTGTTGGTGTAGGCTTGTATTTGGGTATGTTGAAGCTCTCCAATTTCTCCACTTCTATCTTTCCCTGTCATTTTTTTTTTTTTTTTTTGTTGATGCCAAGTTAGAACACTTTAAGACGGAGAAATTACGTTGAGAATTGCTAGAAGAGGAGTCTCACGTCAGCTAATTAAAGAGTTGATGATGAGTTTATAAGTAAGGAATATATCTTCATTATTATGAAATATTTCAGGAAGTCAAAAGAAAAGTCATATGCTCAAAGTAGACAATACCATATCATTGTGGAGGGTCGTGATTCCTAACATATTATCAAACTCATGCTCTTAACTTAGCTATGTCAAAAGAATCTTCAAATGTCAAACAAAGAAGTTGGGACCTTCGAAGTGTTGAACAAAGGGTATACTTTATTTTAGGGCTCCAGAGAAGGAGTCAAGCTTTGATTAAGGGGAGGCTATTCGAGGGTTCCATAGGCCTTAGGGGAAGCTTTATGGTATACATTGTTCGAGGAGAGAATTGTTGAAGATTGTTAGTTGATCATGGGTTTACAAGTAAGAAATGAATCTCTATTGGTAAGAGGCCTTTTGAGGAAGCCACTAGAACTCATGCTCAAAGTGAACAATATCATACAATTATGGAGGGTCGACCTTTTGAATAAGCCAAAAGTAAAGCCATAAGAGCTTAGGTTCAAAGTGGACACTATCATATTATTATGGAGGGTCGTGATTCCTAACAAAAAAAAAAAAAAAATTTAGAACGTCCTGATTGATGGTTACCTTGGAGACCATGTCGTTAAGCGCGACAGCCAAAAGGTCCCAAGTGTAAGAACACTCCCTACTAGCTGGGTTTTGGCTTTTCCTTCCCGGGAGTGTAAAAATCATGCAACCCCCACCCACCAATTCTTGTGCACGACACTTGAGAAACAAGGAGAAGTCCTTTTGGAATTGGTCATAATAAGCTTTCAGCACACTCTCTGGGCTCGTCTCAGCCATAAAAATGTTTCTTTTATTCTCCTCCAACCCTTCAGGAACCTAACCAAAAATTTACCAAAAAATTTACGAACAAAGTGAGTGGTTAAGTAAGTAAGATGTGCACTACCTTACCTTAGATAGCCAATGAAGGCTATAGGAAGAATGAATAAAGTGGACGCTATGGGTAGGGAAAAGCCTGCCATAGAAAGAGCCAGGCACCCCAGTAACGCGACAAGGCCCAAGATCAGGGCCAATCTTCATTTTCAAGCGTTCAAGGAAGCTAGGCAGGGATTTGAAGATGGTATTGAAGTCATTTCCGGGTAAGTCGTTTAACAAAACTTGATATTCGATTGATTCCTTGCGGAGCTTCCGACGAGCCTTTTCGAGTGCCTCAATGAGTTGGGACACTGGCATCAAAGCGTTGGGTCCAGAAGAACAGCCCAAATCCGCGATGGTTAAAGTAGTTGGAAAAGTGGAGCAATAGAGGTTGACAATGGCTTCCTCAGCAATTGGCATCGTCATTGATATCACCTTCGACTGTTACACAAAAAACACAAGTTAAATAAGCCCAAAAGCTCACTCAAAGGATTAACTATGAAAAAAGATAGGGACCTGAAGCCGGGAATTGGTAGCATAGCTAAGATCTCCAACTCCTCCATTCATGTGAAGAACTTGAGCTACTTCCATGTTCTCTCTCTCTCTCTCTCTCTCTCTCAATGTGTTGGTGTTTATCTTTGGCTAGACCCGTCCTTCTCTTATAGACCCCTTAACGTGTCATAAAAGTAGGATCGGGTTAGATTGTAATACTATTTTCTAAGTTTATTAATCGAAACTGAATTTGAAAATTCTAACTCATTTCAAATTGAAAACCAATCTAATTCAACTCGATCTGCCCAGCAGTTGAATTAAAATGATAATAAGAATAAGAATAAGAAAAGAAAAACATAACAACGTCCTAATATGAAATTGAGTTATTAAAAAAAATAACCTAAATCAACAATGTTAAAGGACTCTATCGTCTTCTTAAAATATTTTGATAGATAAGAACTAATGATCTAGAGCTATCTGAAGAAGTCTCCAGTATGATGTTTGAATTGTTTCTTTCCTTCTTTAATGTCACTTTGCCATCTCTATGTGATAAACACTGTGTTTTTAAAATCATACCAATTGGTTTACGCAAACTAAGCTTTTGAGTCGGTGCTTGAACATTATACCAAATATCAAAAACTTCTTGTAACTTTACCTAACCTTTCAAGTTCATTAAGTTTATGGTAATTTTACCTATTTTTGCGTTTGATTTATTTTCGTTAGATTTAAGAGAAGGATGATGTGTAGTTGTAATTTATTACACATAAAACATAACTTTAGTAAAGAATCTTACCACCAAATAAGAAATCTATCTATATATATATAAATAAATGAGTGCCCTCTAGTCTCGTCTCTGTCGCAAAAAAATTTATTTGAGCGGAATTTAATTCAAATATATAAAAAAATTAAATTTAAATTGTTTATTTTAAAATATATATTTTTATTACCATACCATTATATATATACATATATTTATTTTATTTTTATTAATTTTGGTGAAATGGTCAAATTAACATAAAAGGTAAAAATGCATACTAGAGACGTAGAATAAAAGGAATATATTTGGTAAAAGTTGGGAACAAAACTGGAAAACATGTTGGATTCAAATTAACACATCTGTATTCAAAGACAGAACTCTGATATCATATTAGAAACTGTGACTCTTCACAATGATGTAATATTGCCTCCTTCGAGTCTAAGCTCTCTGATTAAGTTAAAATAAAAAATATTTCACTCTACTCTCTATCCAACCAATGTAGATCACTTACACTTAGTTTTCAAAATAAAGAAAAAGTAAGTACACCCAAAACACTAACTCATCGGAATCAAATTCTTCTTCAAGTGTATCCGCATAGATTTTGGCAAGAGAATGAAACTAACGACATTTGTTTCGACATCCTGATTCTGATACCAAAATATGACCCACGATCAAAATAAGTAAAAAAGCAAACGAAAAACTTGATCATACTGATTGAGTTAGGTCGAGTTGATAAGTTTTTCAAATTATGGAGTTTTTTAACACTCATCTTTAACAAATTTACGAGTAAATGAGGCTTAATTTTTTTTTTCTCTTTGACATTTTTTTTTAGACCCAATCAAATTAAATTAAATGACATATTCTTCGATCTAAACAATAATTATTTAGTTGTTTGCCCGTTAAAAAAGCATGGCTAACGAGGACGATGAGTTCAACCATGTCCATACATCCAAAGCTACTTTATTTCTATTTCTATGGTGTGTAATTTTGAGTTCATCAATCCCACTGTTTCTCTCACTAGGATATAAAATGATTGGCCAAAACATGATAATATGATGTGGTTTTATGTCACAAATCCTTCTTAAAATATTGATACTATGCTATGCTGCAATGGAATAAATGGGTATATGAACGCTTCTTATTCACGTACAGTGTTGTGTTATAACAGTTTAGTGTTAGTAAATATTGTTTGCTTTCGTCAGTTACTTATTGCTATCAACTTTAAATTTTAAAATGTACTAGAGAGATTTTCATATCTTCCTAAGAAAGAAATACTTTGTTCTCCTCTCCAGTGAGATCTCACAATCTATTCCAATTGGGAGTCCCGCGTCCTCGCTTGCACACCGTTCAATGCCTACCTTTGATATCATTTATAACCGCTTAAGCTCACCACTAGTAGATATTGTCACTTTTAGCCCGTTATCTATAATCGTTAGCCTCATAATTTTAAAACGCGTCTATTAAGAAGAGGTCTCTACATAATTATAAAAAATACTTTGTTTTCTTCTATAATCGATATGGATCTCACCGGTGCTTATATCATTTCATTGTCAAAAGTATCAGATCCATGGCTGAACCACTACTGATTGATTACTTTGTAGAAGACATTATGGAAGAACTATTCTACCGGTACAAGAAACTGGTTGATGATCACATGTTAAACGGGAAGATTGAGTTCGTCAACCTACTGCTTGTCTCACTAAAATAAATTGAAATATAATATAATACGATATATACATAATTAATTGAAATATAAACCAGATATGAATTGCGCCCAATTATTATTTATATTTTATTTAATAATAATTATATAATTTTTATTATTCTAATTAAGTGTATAATCAAGTTGATTAAAATAATCTTTGAAACCAAAAAAAAAAAAATAAAAATAATAAAATAAAATAAAATGAGTTGCTCATAACCCAACCATTAATATTTCCCACTTTTAACCATTTAAAAATTAATATAAAAAATAAATTCTCCACTTCATGGAAGATTTAACAAACTAATTAAAAAATTAAAAAAACTCCCAACTTTCTTTGATGAGACTATTAATATAATTAAGTTGTATGGCTCTGATACTACGTTGATATTATCTACTTTGAATATAAATTATCGTGAATTTATTTTTTTTTAAAAAAAAACTTTATACTAAAGAATAAAATATGATTTTCTTTTTAATAGTCAATATAACATTACTTCTTTCGATAATATTCAACCAGTCTTTTTTTTAATTATGATTATCCTCATTTGAATATGGTCTTAATTTATTTATGTACCTGTATTTTACCACTAACTAATCAATCAACACTAAATTTTGAAAATAAAATTATTATATTTAAAAAATCATAATCTAAATACAAATCTAAGACAACCACTAAAAAAGACATCTTTAAATATTTTAAAAGAAATTAATAGTTTTCTTTTAAGAAAGATGAAATCCACATATACAGTTTGCAATTATATTTAATTATAAATTAACACTAATTCAAATTCAAATTCAAATTCAAATTCAAATTCAACATGAAATACTATAGCATGAATTTTGAATTGAAATATATATTTTTTTAATAGGTTGACGACATATGTCAATCTCATTTATTACGATAAGGTTTCGAATTCCATGTCATCAAAAGAAGCAAATGAAAGGCTTTCACAGATTCAACCGGCCCAAAACATATTATTTGTTTGGGCTGGGCTGGCCCAACTTCCAACATTCAAGACCATTAAGCCTGGCCCAACAACCAAAATTTTGGGATAGGATTACATATAGAAAAAGGCTTCCAAAGATTCTAAAATGCGTATATTAGTGAGAGGTTTTCAAACGTTTATAAAAGTGTTTTGATCTCTTCTTCAATTGAGGTGGAATCTTAAAAGATTTGAATCCCAACGTTCAATAGTCCTTTCTTCAAACTAATTTGATAAATTTCTTTTTATATTTTAAAACCATAGTTTACATATACTTACAAGAAGATATTCCAATCAAGAGTAAGTAAGTACATCCAATGGAGTTTGAATTTGACTTGTAAAGACTAAAAGTAATTTTGAAATAAAATTAAAAGCCCAACACATATTTTTTAATCTTAATTATTATAACTAAGTTTCCAATCCATCTAAACTATCCAATATATTAGTTATAAACTGAATATATTATTATTAGCAATCCAATATAATAATTATAAAATCCAATATGTAGTTTTCGATCCATTGAAACTATACTATAAAGTTGTCATATAATATTCTTATTCCATAAAGTTGTTAGTCAATCTAAACTATCCATTAAATTATTGGTAGCTTATAAAGTTCTAGAAACTATGTAGAATATTATGGTGATGTCAATAAAGTTGGGCGGCGATAAAGTCAGCCGAACCATATGGCCCACATGCATACAAAGCTGAATTTCATGCAGCCTCCCCGAGTTTGCGCTTATTTGAAAATGGCAACTTGCGAGGGACCATTCTGTTATAAATACCGAATTGGAGGTTTCAGAGAACGAAAGATAGAGAGATGGTTGAAATGGTACCCATGAATGGAGGTGTCGGAGACACCAGTTATGCTAATAACTCCTTGTTTCAGCAAAACATAATATCCATCACTTGGCCCATCACCAAGGAAGCCATCACGCAACTCTACTGCGCCAGCTATCCCACGAGCCTAGCCATTGCCGACTTGGGTTGCTCTTCTGGCCCGAATACTCTTGTGTTTCTCTCCAATTTGATACGACAAGTGGAGAAGCTTCGTCACCAACTCCACAAAAGGTCTCCTCTTGAGTATCAAATCTTCTTCAACGACCTTCATACCAACGACTTCAATTCACTTTTCAAATCCCTCCCAAGTTTCCACCAAAATTTGAAGACCCACATCGGAAATCATGATCTTGGTCCATGCTTCTTCACCGGTGTTCCTGGTTCTTTCTATAACAGGCTTTTCCCTCGTGCAACTTTGCACTTTGTTCATTCCTCTTATAGTCTCCATTGGCTAAGCCAGGTAAGCTTTTTATTCTTGAAAGTTTGAAGAGGTTGTGTTCTAAGAATACGTGAAATTTGGGTAAATATTGGTGTATCCATCCAAATCTACAGCTAACAGATATTGCCCTTTTTGGATTTTCCCTTTCGGGCTTCCTCTCAAGGCTTTAAAACGTGTCTGTTAGGGAAAAGTTTCCACAAGCTTATGAAGGGTATTTTGTTCTCCTCCCCAACTAACGTGGGACATCACAATCCACCCTTTTCACGGTTCAGCGTCCTTACTAGCGCATAGTCTCGTGTTTATCCCCTTTAAAAAATAGCCTCCTTGTTGGCATATAGTCCAAATTGATTGAATTTCCTTCGTGTTTCCCCCAATTGGTTAGGTTCCGGAAGGGATCGAAAGCAATAAAGGCAACATTTTCATATCGGACACGAGCCCGAACGCAGTACAAGAAGCCTATCGTTGCCAATTTCAAAAGGATTTTTCTACGTTTTTGAAGTGTCGTGCCGAGGAATTGGTGGTTGGTGGGCGCATGGTTCTAACAAGCTCGGCAAGAACATGTGAAGATCGAGTCAACAAGGAGTGCTGCTACGCTTGGGAGTTCTTGAATTTGGCTCTCATCGACATGGTTTCAGAGGTACAAATTCAATCTCCACAGTGGCATGATATTGTCCACTTTTGATTTCCCCAAAAATTGTCGTACCAATGGAGATGTGTTTCTTACTTATATACATCCATGATTAACCCTTAAACTCTAAATTTAAGCTATTGTTTGAACCTAGGGAGTTGTTGAAAAGGAGAAGATGGATTCATTCAACATTCCTGTTTACATGCCGTCTTTGGCAGAAGTGGAAGCTGAGGTCTTAAGAGAAGGGAGGTTCGTGATTGAAAGTCTCCAAATTTCAAGAATCAATTGGAACTTATCAACCAATGAACTCAACGGATCATCAAAAGAGTCAGTTAAGAGTGGGTATAACTTTGCAAAATGCATTCGATCCGTTGCAGAAGGGCTTATTGTTCGTCATTTTGGAGAAGAAATTATAGATACATTATTCAATAGGTATGCAGAAATTATTGCTGATCACATGTCCAAGCAGAATATACACAATATTAACTTCACCGCTTCTCTCACTAGGATAAAATGATATAAGAACATAGGGTCCGATATGACCCACTACCAAATATGTTAGAAACACTTAATTTTTCGATTCTTTTTTCTTATTATGAAAATTAAAATAGTCGAAAAAACACGGATTAACTTAAACTTTGTCTCTAGTAACTTATTTCACTGGCAAACAATACATCAGTTTAATCTTCATCCTTCCATTATACTCAATAATTTATTATCTATAATATAATTAAATATATTATAATTTCTAAGCTAAAATATTAATTTTTTTAATTATTAATAAATTCAAGTTTATTTAATTAAATTCAATTTAAAATCAATCCAACCCATAAATTTAAATTAAATTTAAATTAAACTACATTCTAATAGTAGAATTAGGTTAGATTGATCCGATTTTTTAAATTAACAAATTTTTTTAGCACAAATTTATAAGTAAATGAGGCTTAATTTTTTTTTTCTTTAAACCGTTTTTAGATTCAATCAAATTATTAAATAATAAATTGTAGTGCCAATAATAAGTTAAAAAATGGAGCAACCATGTCCATATATCCAAAGCTACTTTATTTCTATGGTCTATAATCCACGAGTTTTGAAAATGAAATGATTGACAGCCCTTAAAATATTCTAAATATGGAATATGGAATTGAATCACGACTATAACCTAAAGCTCCAAAAACTTAGATAAATTATTTTAATATCACTTTTAAAACAAAATCAAATATAACAAATTTAACCACCTTTCTAAAATTAGAAACCAGAAACTAACAAATTAATTAAAGATAATCTTTACTTCAAACATTTTTCTCTTCAATCATCCTAAAATTAATTAAAGATAATGTTTTTAATTTTAGCATTATCCGAGATGGTTGATGAAGAAAAAATAAATCGGTTAATATTGAGACTATTATGTTATAATTTTTTTTAATGGTTAAATGTAATATTAAAGATTGGGCAGATAGAATATTATATATATAAAAAAAGAAATATTTTAGTAAAAATTATATTAAAATATAAAAAACTTTAAGAAGAGGGGAAATTAAATCCGCACTTTGAGTGGTTATAATTATAGAAAAGATTTAAATATGTATGCGGTGGGTAGGCGAAGGGAATTATAAATAAGGTGTCTCTCCCACAGCTTGAGAAGCACAAACAGAAATGGAAGCTATAAAAATACTCCACACCAACTCAGGAGATGGCCACCACAGCTATGCCAACAACTCCTTACTTCAGGTCTTTTTTTTTTTTTTCTTTTTACATTTTCTAAATTAATACTACTTTTGCATTAAAGTTTTTTTATTTTTTATTTATGATTGTGATTTGATTAGCAAAAGATAATATCCATAGCATGGCCTATCATAAAGGAAGCCCTTCAACATTTCTGCGCTCACAACATTCCAACCACCTTCGCCATCGCAGATTTGGGGTGTGCTTCGGGGCCTAACACTCTTATGATCGTCTCCAATTTACTCAAACAAGTTCACCAATTTTATCAAAACCTTCCTAAACAATCACCCCACTATCAGATCTTCTTCAACGATCTCCATGCAAATGATTTCAATCTCATCTTTAGATCACTGCCAGGTTTGTTGGAAAATTTGAAGACCCAAATTGGAGATGATTTTGGGCCATGTTTCTTCAATGGCGTGCCGGGTTCTTTTTATGGCAGGCTCTTCCCCAACAAAAGTTTGCATTTTGTTCATTCTTCTTCCAGTCTCCATTGGCTCTCCCAGGTGATCTTCAAAATCTTTTTCTCTATTAAAAAAAAAATCCAATTGTTATTATTATTATTATTATTATTATTATTAACTATGAAGCTCAAAGGTTCCTGAAGGGATAGAGATGGAAAACAAAGGGAACATATTCATAGACACTACAAGTGGGGAGAATGTGATTGAAGCGTTTCGTAGGCAATTTGAAAAGGATTTTTCAGTGTTTTTGAAGTGTCGGGGAGAAGAAGTGGTGGGAGGTGGAGGAATGGTTGTTACAATGTTAGGAAGAACAGCCAAAGAATATTGTTATGCTTTTGAGCTCTTCAATTTGGCTATGAAGAAGATGGTTGCAGAGGTGAAAATATTGCATTTTATTGAGTAATAAAATGGTGGAAATGGTATTTATTAGTGATATGATTTGTAATTACAGGGGATGGTGGAAGAGGAGAAAGTGGATAGATTCAATATGCCAATTTTCATGCCAACTCCAGAGGAAGTAAAAGCAGAAATCCAAAAGGAAGGAAGTTTCATGATAAAGCGTGTTGAAGTGCTGAGAATCGATTGGAACTTATACAGTAATAATACTGAAATTGATGCATCAAGTGTGGGTGTTGATAGCAGTTATAATATTGCAAATTGCGTTAGATCCGTGATTGAACCAATTATGATTCCTCACTTTGGACAACCCATTGTGGAACAAGTATTTGAGAGGTACAAAAGAATTGTTAAGGATGAGATGCTCAACAAAAAGAATGAGTTCATCTTTCTCACTATTTCTCTCACTAGAATCTAAAATGATTGGATAATATGATGTGGTTTTATGTGAGGAATTCTTCTAAAAACATTCATACTATGTTATGCTGCAATCGAATAATTGGCTATTCACATATGAACTCAACGCCAATGGCTTATCATTATCATTATCATTTTATTTAATAATTTTTATGTAATCTTTAGTATTCTAATTAAGTGTGTAAATAAAATGTTTCCAACCATAAAAAAAAAAAAATTATTTTTTCTCTTCCTAGAGTCATTGCGAAAATATTTATTTAAAATAATTCATAACAATATCAAGGACTAAACATTTACCTTCAAACCCTTAAAACAAAATAATAAAAAGTATTCCATGCGAAATATAAATAAAACAGAACATATTAAAACGATACCTTAATCTATGACCTACAAAATAAATAAAATGCAACTACACTAAAATCGGTTCTATGGTCTGCAACACAATGTCGTCGTCATCTGTACAAGATTGTTTTACCTTACCTGAAATATAATAATAGCACAAGGTTTGAGTATTTTAAGAAATACTCGACCATATTATTGGGGTTAGGGAATGCAAACACTTACCGAACCATGGGACCTAAGATTTTAAACCGTCTTTTTCTTGGGCGGCTTTCTAGTTGGGGCAAATTGGATGTGTTGTACTCTAACGAACCAAGCCCACCGCTAACAGATATTGTCCTTTTTGGCTTTTCCTTTTCGAGCTTTCCCTCAATGTTTTTAAAAATACATTTGCTAGGGAGAGGTTTTTCACAACCTTATAAAGAACGTTTCGTTCTCCTCACTAACCGATGTGGGATCTCACAATCCACCTCCATTTAGGGCCTAGCGTCCTCGCTGGAACTCGTTCCCCTTCTCCAATAGATGTGGGACCCTTCAATCACCTCCCCTTCGGGGCCCAGCATCCTTGCTGGCACACCACCTCATGTCCACCCCCCTTCGAGGCTCAACGTCTTTGTTGACACATTGCTCGGTGTCTGGCTCTCATACTATTTATAATAGTTCAAGTCCACAGCTAGATAATATTGTATTCTTTTGTATGTTATCAGCCATTTCCACACTTATATAAAGAATGCTTCGTTAATTTTTAGAAATGACGTGGAATCTTACCAAATTAGAATATTTGTACAATTTAGTTAGAAGATTTCACATGATTGAAGACGATACTCTTTTATTAGTATATTTTGTTTGGTGATTCATCATTTTGGTGAAGAAAAAAAATGAAGGTATTTACACAAATCGATCGGGTGTTCTTAATTCAAGATAAATTTAAATAAATTGATAAGATGTGAAATTTGATATATTTTTGTTTGAATTTATATTTAAAATTTTAATAGGCGGATCGATTTTTTAGATAAAAATGTAATGATATATCTAGTTTAATGTGTGGATGCAATGAATGATATAGACATTCTTTGCGGCCCTAGAGTCGGGTGAACCAAATGGACAGCCTCCATGTGACCGATATGCGTACGGGACCGACCATTTTCATATCACACGTTTATCTTCTTGTTACAAAAATTCAACTAAACCTTTGGATCGAGTGGTTGAAATGCTACCAATGAATGGACGTTTTTTTTTTTTTTTTTTTT